ACCTTTTTGTTTATTTATTTCCCAATTCCTATCAATTACAAATAACAAAACAATTCGTGGAGATTTTGGTGTGTTGCGCAATTACAATCTTTTGACACTAGCTCGTTTATAAAAAAAACATGCACTGCTGATAACACTGGAAGATAAATGTAATTGGTAATTATTTTAATGTAAGCTTTCAGTGTCTACTATCTTTATTGTGTGTTTTAATAACTATCAGTAAAGGCAGTGGGAGTTGCCGCTTTTCCATAAAGATAAAAAATAATGGAGGTCTTATTATGGACGTAAACACTATGGCGGTACCAGTAGGGCGAGGTGCCACGCTATGTTATCAGAGAAAAAACATTTTTTAAGTGAACACAGTACCACCAGGTGGCGTAACGATTTGATTCGATTTGATGCTCGAAATGTATTTTGTTGAGAATCTTAAATTGGTATATTGCTAAGAGAAAGTCATGACATCACCCTAGCAAATATTGCAGATTAATAGCTCTTATCGTTTCAGAGATAATTTTTTTGTAAATATGTTATCAAGCAATAACTTCGTGCGGTTATTGTCAACGCGAAATGAGAACCAAATTGATATTTTTGATTAATATATACTTATAATTTCGCATAATATATGCATATGCCTACTGTTTGATGATGTGCTGGTTTGACGGATTGGCAAATAATTTTTAACTTCGATTCAATTTGAAACGGAGATCTCTCTTATAGATTGAAGAAATTGGATTTATCGACTAATGCTATGCTCTCAGATATCCTGTTGGGATATAATGTGTAGTGCTAACAATAGAGTTAGCATCCGAAGAGAATGATAATAATTAAGTATTATTAGTTACGCAACCGTGGACCAATTTCACGAATGAGCCGAGTGAATAAATTATTCCAAAGCAATATGTTTTTCTTGATTATCGCACGAAATTTTGAACAAAATTAGTATTATCAACAGTATGATAGCTGATACTTTTGTATGTTAATATTTCAATAAATTCATGACTTGTGATTCTGAGAATGGTTCTCCTGACAACCTTTAAATGTTTGTACCAACATTAGTTTTATTTTTCCTAGAGGCTTCCAATATCAAATTTTCATGTAAATACCGCGCGAGAGTACTCACAAAGGTAAAATGGTACTCATAAAGGGCAAGTGGAACGTGTGGACGAGACATATCTACTGATGATATCAAAACTTTCAATGTAAATATCGGCAGAACGGAGTGTCGAAAGAGGGTACTTTACGAGGTACTTTACCGCTCCGCTCAAAACATGAGATACTGTATTTACCTACTTTATAAGAAAATAAGATATACAAATTGATTATTAATTTGTATGTTTACAAATCATTTCCAACGCAGCTCGTTAAACCTGTTTCAGGAGACGCTCACGATCACACTCAAAGTATGCTCAAAATTGGCACAATGAAATCAAATTGGAATGCGAGTGGCTTGGTCCTAGGCCTAACATTTGATTTTATTGCATCAATTTTGAGCGTACCTTGAGTGGAGCCTGAACGCCCGCAGCCTTAGTGTGAAACAACCTTTACACTTCTAAAAGAAAGGACGAAAAGCTTGACTGGGATGCAATCTTGAACTTGAATCAATTATGTAGCATTTGCTAGTATGGACACAAACAAATAAAAGATCACCTTCGACATTTCTATGTAAATTAGTTATCTATACAACTTTAAAAATAGACCCTGGGAATCGCATTATCCTAGAATAATTTTGTGTACAATTCCACTTGCGATCAGTGGCAGCTTGTGGGAATTTGTTCTGTTCAGGTTCAGACTCGGGTTCATTGTGAATATTCTTGGAACTCGCCAAGAAGGTACTTATTGGAATTTTTTGACCAAACTTGATCGAGACAATCATTATCGTTTATTATTGGAACGATACACGTGGTATAAAAATTAAATGTCAAAAAATTGGCGTTGAAAGAATCCAAAATAAACACTTTTTCCAAAATATTTCATTTGGGAGGTATAGCATTGAAAGTTTGCGGTTCTTTTTAAATTCTTCTTTTTCAACGGTCATAACCTCGGTCATAACACGTAGAAATTTCGAATTAACGGATTTGATTAGGTTTTTGCATATGCCCTTTCTGATCTGCAAACAATTTCCAAGAGTTCCTAAGCCAAGTTGGTGAAAAAATTCGATTTCGACTAAATTTGATATCTTGGTATCTTTGAACATGAAATTATTTTTAGAGTCAAACTACAAAGATTTGGACGGCAATACCTACTTGGCACGACAATGAAAAATCGTTAGATTTCTAATTATTCTGACGCGTAAAACACACAAAATGAAATTTAAGAAAACTTTAAAACACACTTCATCAACCTCGTCGTCAACAGAACACCTAGAATCGAGACTAAAAAAACGTCGCAAAAAACAAAAATAAAATTTTCGCGAGAATTTTCGTTGAAAAAGTGTTGGGATCTTAAGAATGGATTGAGATGAACATTGAAAAGATCACAACACTTTTTTAACAAAATTGTTACTTTTTTGCCATTTTACCAGATTCTGTTGACAAACTCTTTTTAATGAATTTTTTTAATTGTATAGTAGAAGTTTAACATGTTAATAGGTTTAAATGCGTAGGCTAAAGTGTCTTTCTAACCGTAAGGGTAGATAAAGTAAAACAAATCATTGTGCATTCCAATAACATCTGTTATTCTTTTTAAATAATGGGACGTGGAGCACGATATAAAATGAAGTTCAGAACATAATACAATATTATTTCTATGGAAACGACAGGAGAACTTGGAGAAACACATGGAACACCTCAAACGCCATTCGGAACAGTTTAAACTTCGAGTCCAGATGTACAGGTGCCACTTCACATGTCCCCAAGTAAAATACCTTGGACCCCACAGGGAATATCCGTGGACCCCACAAGGACCCAAGCCATCAGCGACATGACCGCACCAAGAAATACCAAACAATTAATGACCTTTCGACAGATATGGTCCTAGTACTCCGGTAATTATTGCCCCCTCCCCCAAAAAAATATCCTACGCCTCTGAATGTTTGCCTCTCTCCCAAAAAAATTTGGTTCCTACACCTCTATACATGGGGTTTGTCTCAGGATTGGCCGGACTCACAAAACCTCTCACCAGCCTCCTAAACAAAGACGCCAGTCCAACAAAAGGGCATACAACCAGCTACGGAAGCTACTTACCACAGCTGCTTCCATACTGCTACAAGCCGGCCCTCGCCAGCCATTTACGCTGCTTAACCATGAATCGTACGCCCCGAGGTACGCCCCCTAAAGGCGAAGCTAGAAACTTGAAAATAATTTCCAGCGATTTCTCTTGACCCCTTTTGTTAACAAAATTTTTTTCCCTAAGCTATGCAATTAACGGTTCCATAGATATGGCCTGTGACCATTATTAACAGGACACCCTGTACATACGTAGAAATTCTTCCGTAATTACTGGTGCCATACGGGTACTTACAGGAGGAGTTGTGTTATGAAAGAGCTGCAAGTGTAAAATGTATTCTGGCAATTGTAGGACTTGTACGGGGTAAGTTACAGGCAGCACCGTAGCCAGATTGATTACCAAGAGCGGGCCTAAAAATCTACAGAGCAAGCGGACCAATTAATAATTTGCCGTATTCCGCACAAATACCACTCGCTGTACAACTTCGTTTTTTTGGTATACGAGGGCAGGTAAAAAAAAGTTCTCCAACCACATTCTTTAAATGGATTCAATTCAAAAAGATTAAAACGGGGTTTTTCAAAAAGTTTGGTGAAATTATTTGTATTTTTTGGGATCATTAGGACCTTTTTTAAACTTTAAAAATGTTTTTTTAATCTTGTTGAATATTTCTGAATCGCTATCTTTTTTTAATATACACGCTGTAGTTCCTTAAAAGAAAATATGGTTAGGTCCGAGAACTTTTGTACTTGACGCCGTATACCTGCTTATTTTGAAAACGGTAGATTATGATGCAATAAGCGCTTGTACTAAACACATGGTATCTAAATATCGAACGAGCGAAAAATGCCATTTTTTGCACATTAACTCAAAAACAAAAAAACTGTATGCCAGTTTGGATTTCAACATCGAGTTTAGCTTAAAAAAATACACCGAAACTGCGAGGTCAAATGCCATATTGCGTCATATTAAGCAATTTTCAAGACCGGGTAGCCCACTCTTGCCCTCCTCTGGCTACGGCGCTGGTTACAGGCCCCGCTACCCAAATTTGAAAGTATGAAAATGCCGGGGACATTTTCCGAGGTATTTTCAAAAAGGTTTGTGAGCAAGAATAGCGAAACTATAAAACAGAGATGAAAATAATCCCCATTATTCATTTGTACAGATTTGGAACTGTAGCAAATGTCACTGAAACTTGAGCAACTTCTCTCCACACGCCCATATATACAATATTACAGTTTACAGTTTGATAAATAATAATCTTCAGTGAAAATTCCCACGCTCGTCTCGTCAGACGAAACGACGCAAAACGTAATAGGAAAAATTATCCCAAGGCCAACCATTTTGGAGAACTTAAAGCTATCACGTTTTTTTTATTTCTTGGAAGACAATTGACACTTGCAGATAAAACGGAGGTAAATCCATTTTTCTACTTTTACTTCACACTGTGCGTAAATAGACTTGGAAAACCCATATAACTGGTAAATGTTAATCAGACACCTTTTACTTATTCACCATCTAAATGTGATTAAAATAAAGAGGTAACTAAGCGTGTCCAAATATTATAATGACGATGTGATTGTAATGATATTCAAATGAGATTGTTGAATGTTGACATAGCAGCGGATGTTCTAGATTAATTAAAATGTCAACAATTTTGTTTATAGACACCTTTAGTTGATTGCATTTATGGCAAATAAGTTTTTGTATAATTCCACAATTTGTGATGTGATTCAAATTAATGTGAATCCGCTCAGACAAATCGAGTATGCGTTGCGAAGTAAAATGCAACAGTCACCTGAGATTTTTGGCAAATGTAACGTAAATTATCAACTTACCCAAACACAAATCGGCTCTTTGGTCATAACCGAAAACGTATCACCGGTAAATTGAGAAAAAGTTCGATCATCCGCAGACGAATGATTCGTATTGTTATTTAAGATATCTTCACTTTCAATAAGGGATGAAACATCCAAATCACTTTTTGGTTTATTCCATTCGGGGTCCTTAACAATATGTGTCGCATAATAAATAGAAAGCGATAACGCGAGTACGCTCGCACAGGTGTAAGTTTTTAAATTTGGTAAAGGTAAACGTTCCAACACAATTATTGGCATTTTGATTTGAAGGCGGGTAGGTATACAATAAGGGAACTTAAAATTTAGGACGACGAGAACGTTCACTTCTGATTGTTTATTGAGCACGCTGCTACACGAATCACCGCTTACGATACTTTGACCAATTACAGAGTTTTAAATTACGTTCCGCTACCGATAAATATTTTGACATATTGACAGTGCGGCTCAGTTCGCTACTGTACTGACGACCTCGCTTCGTTTGAATTGCTCGCACTAACGTAAAGGTAACTTATTACTGTCCGCTGGTGCGATGCGGTAAACTTATGAAGGTAGATCGGCGCACCAAAATCACAACCGACACGCAAAAATCCCTGCACCACGTCAGTGCTTACGGTGGTATTGATCGGATCATACGATTACAAAACTGGTTATGTGGTGTAAGAAGTTCCTTACATAGTGTAATGTGTCGTAATTAATATAGATTTTTACATACAGTTATAGTAAAAACTGTAAGATGTCGCTACATAGTATTAATCGTGAATTGTAATTGTACGCCCTCTACTGTATACCAGTATCAGACATTAAACATGCTCTATAAATTTACTTTTATTGGTTTGGCGTTAAGGATCTTTAGTTTAAGTCTTATTTATCAGATGGCGAAACAACGCATTAATAAGTTGAATTACGTCTTACAGGTTTTTTGTTATATAGCGCTTTCAATTAAAAACGAACCACCTATTGTAATTTTGATAAAAAATTAAAAAAAGCAAAAAATACGTTCATTTATTTTGTATAGATACTTTCACCTCCGCTTCCACAACTTTAAAATTCTCCCATCGAGTGATCACTGGAACTGTAAATAAGTGAATTTGACAAATTTTAGGAGTTAATTTTGATTGTTTGATATCTGTTGAATATTGATAACACTTGTGCAGTTATATCAAGTACTCTGTACTTATTCTCAAAAAATGACGACAGAATAATTGAATAATAATTGACGTTTACTGTTTATTAAGAACTAGGCGCGTAGCCTGTAGCCAGGATTTTTTCTCGGGGGAGTGGAAAGGGGGCTTCCACATTTTAGGACATGCAGGTGCGGAAATTTCCTTTATCAGGCCCGTATCAAGAACCTTTTTGAAGGAAAAGCTCTTAAAAAATAAAACACGGATTATTTCGAGTTTAGAACAAAGAACATTTATAATTTAGTATAGTTATAACCTTATTTACTCTATGGTATATGTGCTGGTTTGTCAATCGCTGATATACGTATATGCGATCTTTCAAGTTTGCT